TGTATTCAGGCCAGAAGCATGCTGAAGGCATGGGCGTAGCCAATTCCTCAAGAGTGTTTCCTCTCACGCCAAAATCGGTGGTGACTGTTTTTGTCGGGGACTGCGAAACCAGACTCGTTTACTGGTTTCCAAACGCTTTTTCACACTACAGTATAGCGTCTGAGCAGTGGGTCTACTTGGAACATCAGTTCAAATCCACGTTGTTGATAAAATGCAAAAGCACCCGAATGGGAGAGAGGGAGGGAGGGAGCGACGATTTATTGTTCCCAGAACCCTGAGTTGCCGTCACAGGCAGCAGTTGCCACTGGCGAAGTACCTGAAACCACTGCTAATATACTAGCACCAAGCTTTAGTTTAATATGAAAGGCAGCCGTGCGAAACTAATTGTTTGACTGCCATAACTATTTTGATTTTTTTATTGTTTGGTCTTCGCAGTATCCGCAGTTTCTCAGTTCCTACAGCAGGATATCCTTCCAGGTGGATAGGTTTACTCAGGGTCTCTTAATCTACCCATCCTGTCTGTTGCTTATGGTGGTAGGAACCAAAACAGATCAATTTTTGGGCGTCGGTCAATCCTCTGCTCCCACTAACTGACAGCTATTTCTAGAGCCGACTGTTTGTCACAGTTGCATAACAGCAAACAGCGTTTATACGCTACAAGTTTTATTTGAACCAGAGTGGACAACCGCGAGTCGATGTCGCCATCTACACCACGCACATTTACGCCCACGAGACTGTTCTGCTTAATCAGCCCGTCCAGACATCATCGCTGCCCACTGAATGGTCGATTAGCCTTGAAGTCAGACGGAAGCAATTTTCTGAGCAGGAAGTCAGCCACGGAAGCCACTGTATGTAGTCTGAGATGAAAAGCTTTGGCCACCGAGGGAAGCATTTGTCTAAATAATAGGGAGGGGGGTGGTTAGGCCGATGCGGCTGATTGTGAAAAACTCGGCGGCCTCGATACCAGTGGAACCCACGAGAGCAAGGAGAATGCTTCAGTAGCCACCGGAGCCATCGAGGCCCAACCTAGCGCCGTGAGCTTAATCACACTTGGACCACGTGCTTTCAGCCAGGCTTTCGACACATAAACATGGCGTGACGTCAACAGTTGCACTAGTTTGCAGTTACGGAGCGACAATTTGTTTAAAATAAACATAGTGTTGACCGTCACTATATTTGACCCGTCTATAAA